TGGCATGGACCAGCACAGCATGGTCCTGGCCTGACRTGGTTCAGCATGGCCACTGCAGCAAGGGATGGTGTGGCCCACATGACATGAGCCACCTGGCATGGCCACAGAAGCGTGGGTTGGCTTGGTCTGTCATGGCATGATTCTGCCTAGCACAGGTGTAACAGCATGGGGTGGCATGAACTGGCATGGCATGGCTTGGTCTTGCCACAGCGGTTTGGGGTGGCATGGTCCTGCCTGACGTGGCCACTGCAGTATGGGGTGGCATGGGCTGGCATGGCCACTGCAGTGCGGCGGGATGTGGTCCAGAATGGCCACATGGCATGGACTGGCATGGCCACTGCAGTACGGCGGGATGTGGTCCGGAATGGCCACATGGCACGGACTGGCATGGCCACTGCAGTCCGGCAGGATGTGGTCCGGAATGGCCACAATAGCAAGAGGTGGCGTGGTCCTGGATTGCATGGTTTGGTCCAGCAGGGACACAGTCATGCGGTATGGAGTGGTCCAGCCTTTGTCCAGCATGGCCACAGCAGTGTGGGATGCCCCGGTACAGCACAGCCACAGCGTTGCCCATCCATGGAATGGCCAWGGAATGGTCCATTCCCCATGGCCATGATAGGATGGGATATCATGGTCTGGCACAATATGGTTTSGTCCTGCCTGGTATGGCCATGGCAGCACGGTTTGGCATGGTCCAGCATGGCATGRCTTGGTGCTGCCTGCTCTCTATGGCATGGCCAAGCACGGCACAGGATGGCCCCATTCTCCCTCCTCCTGGATCCCTGCATTCCCTGGCTCCAAGCTGGACTGGGGCTGGGTAAAGGGGGTTGTGGCTGGGGACCCTCTTGGATGGTGCCATGGGGGAAGCGGAGGAGCCAAGCCGGGGACACAGCATCAGTAGGACACGCTTTTATTTCGATGTCTCTTGGCCACCATGTGGCAAATCCCCACTCCTCACCCTTGTTCCGGCGTTGTTTGGCGGTCGTGGCTCCTCAGCCATCCCATGCAGGGATGCCGGCGCGGCGCGGGGCCAGCGGTCCCGACTCGGACACGGCCGGCGAGTCGCTGGTTCGCGCCCGGGTGAAGACGCGGTTGCGGGAGCCCAGGAGGGTCCCGTGGCCGCGGCTCTGGGGGTTGTAGGGCCCGCGGTGGCAGTGGAGCGAGCACAGCGGGGCCCTGAACACCTCCTGGAAGCCGCGGCGGAAGTTCTCGTTGAAGTAGCCGTAGATGATGGGGTTGGCGCTGCTGTTGAAGAAGGCCAGCCAGTGGGCGAAGGGGTAGACGTAGATGGAGAGCAGGCGGAGCTGGCCCTCGCTCAGCCGCCCGTAGTCTGTCAGCAGCATCAGCGTCCAGAGGGGCAGCCAGGAGATGGTGAAGAAGAGGGCGACGATGATGAGCATGTTGATGACCTTGGCCTTCCTCCGRGAGATCCTCCTCCCCTCCGACTCCTCTCCGCCGTGGGCGGGTGCCACCGATTTGAAGAGCTTGAAGGCGATGCGGGCGTACATGACGACRATGAGGGCGAGGGGAGCCACGTAGATGTGGGAGAAAAGGACGGTGGTGTAGATCCTCCTCATCCCCATCTCGGGCCAGGCCTCCCAACAGGAGTAGAGAGGGTAGGAGTTGTTGTAGGTGTCCACCATGAAGTGGTGCTCCTCCCTGGTGACGGTCAGGGTGACGGCAGCGGGGCACATGATGAGCAGGGCCAGCACCCAGATGACGGCGATGGTCAGCAGGGCTTTCCTCAGRGTCAGCTTCTGCTGGAAGGGGTGGACAATGCAGCGAAACCTGCAGGAGGACACATGGTGGTGGTTTTGGGCACGTGGTGGGACATCCTTGGGGAATGAGAGCGGCTGGGACCCGGGGGTGGGACTGGAGGGTGAGGTGGGTTGTTCTTTACRTGTGGCTTTGGGTGGCAGGCGAGGTTGGGGTGTGTCCAGCTTTGGAGTTTTCAGCCCAATGTGGGAAAGGGCACCTTGCTGGAATGCCCCATGGATAGGTTTGGGSTCCTCCTGGAGAGCTGTGACACATTCCTGACATCCCCAGGAGCTTTCTCCGCTGGGGAAACCACACAGGACACCTGGACCTGCTGGAGATGGCTCGGTCCCCATGTCCCCACATYCCCACACCAACGTACCTCTCCACRGCGATGGCCACCAGCGTGAAAACGGAGGCGGAGACGGACATGCCCTGCACCAGGCCGCTCATTTTGCACATGGTGTTGTCAAAGGGCCAGCCTGTGAGGGGACACCGTGGAGGTTGTAGGTGCCTCTGGCCCCTCCAGCTCCCTTTCGATGTCCCTATGCACTGTGTTGTTGCTGGGGGGTGATGCTAAATCCTGCTCCTAACAGGGTCTGGTATGGAGATGGCTTTTAGCAGCATGGAGGAAAACCCCAAAATTGGTAAAAAAGGTGCACATTACACTTAGAAACTCAAGGAGCATGGAGCTGTCCTTTCTCCTGCTGACTTTGGGATCTTCAATCAGAAGGACTTTCATCTTGTTTCTTGACCCCAATTCCAAGGCAATAAATAAATCACACCCCTTAATCAATAAATACAAACCCTGCCCTATGGCCTAGCTGCTGCTGTGGCTGAATCCTCCCAACTCCCTTAACTTTGGAAAGGTCAACAGGCAGAGCTGAGCCAGCATGGGAGAAGGTGGATGCAGGAAAAATAAGGGGTTTTTTAAATTTTGCTTGATGAAGAATGGCTGAACTTCAAACAAATATGCAAATGCAGTGTTAGGGTCAAACTTATTTTGCCACAAATCACCAAAACCTCAAAAAAAAAAAAAAAAAGGGATGTTTTCCACTCATGCACAGGGGACACTTTGTGCCTCACGTGTCACCCCTTCCTCTGCCCCGCTCACCTGTGATGAGGTTGTCCACCAAGGTGGTGGGCATGCAGAAGATGCCCACCAGCAGGTCGCTGATGGCCAGGTTGAGGAGGAACACRTTGGTGACCGTGCGCATCTGGCGGTTCTTCACCACCACGAAGCACACCAGCACGTTGCCGATCACACACATGAGGAAGATGAAGGTGTAGGCCAGGATGAACATGAGGGCCACGGGGGAGGAGTGCTGGTAGTACGCCAGGAAGGTGTAGTTCTCCCTCGGGAGGTGGCCGGCGCTGGCGTTGGGCCACCAGGTGCCATTGGGAGGGCCTGGGGAAGAGAAGGCCGGAAAATAAAAGCCAGGAGAGAATAAAGCAGTTATTCCTTTAATTTCTTAATGCCTCCAGAGGTGGGTCTTGACATTTATTCCAGGGCATAGCCTGACTGGGATGTATCCTCCTGGAATCATCTCAGTGCCCCAACAAGTCTCCTCCTTGGGTTACACAGCTCGAGGTTCTGCAGCATCTCAGCTGAATAATGATTTTACATCAGTATTATTTGATATCATTATTTTATATAATTATTATTTGATATCATTATTATTTGATATCATTATTATTTGATATACTTATTATTTGACATCATTATTATTTGATATCATTATTACTTGATACCATTATTATTTTTAACATTCTTTTGATGAGGAATTAGAGCAGCCCAGAAGATTTCCTGATCTCATAGGCTTTTTTTTAGGGATGATTTGAGGAAGATAAATCCACGTCCTGACAGTCAGTGCTCTGGCCTTATAGGAGCTATTTCAGWGTGGTCCCAGTCACGGCTGGACTGGGAGCATCCCTGCCCCCGGGTGGCTGCTGCTGCTTCTCCTTGTGCTTCCAAGGTTTACAATTTGATATTCCACAAAATCTTATTTTTCCTGGCAAGCTGCAATAACCAAGGGAAAGGGGCTGGGGCAGAGCCTGTGCTCACCTTACATATAAAGCAGTAATTAAAATAACATACAGTGTAATATAATAATATAATTATTATAGTAATGTAATGAATTTTAATATAATAAATTATAWTATATAATTATATAATTAATTATAATACTATAATAATAATTATCGTTATCTGGGAGCTTCTGATGGAGGTGGGGGGTGGCATTGTGTCACTCCGGACTGAACGGGCAGCAGCTCCGGGCAGCTCCCTCCCTCGGGCTTCCCCAGCCTGACGCAGGCAGGGATGCGGGAGGATGCTTGCGGCGGTGACGGGAGCTGACTCCGGGAGAATCCGGGCTGCAGTGCTAAGACAAGGAAAGGTGCATTTCAGCTTCAAGGCTCAGCCGAAGCCCCTGCGGGTCTCCCTGCTCTGAGACAGCCCTTCGGAGCCGCCGTGTGGTGGGCAGCTGGAGCGTTCCCCTATCCCTGTGSCCACGCCGGCGCTCAGCTCGCCAGSCAAGATGCTTTTCCCAGCCAYCGGGACCAYCGGCTTCCTCAAGGTTCCAGCAGGCAGGAATCCAGGAATCATCCAGGAATCCTATCCAACCCCTAATACCTCCGTGCTGGATGCGGGATTTGGGCAACACGTTCCCAGTGGGGCTTCAGAAAGGTGCGGGGGGAAGAAGGARCCTCTTGGAGAGGTGAGGGAGTAGCGGGATTGAGGGGGCTGGATTCTCCAGGTAGCCTACATCAGATGCGTGAACCAGCTTTGTGAGCAGGAGCAATTACAAAGATTGTAATGARATTGCCCAAAACCTGTGATATTAAGCCCAAAACTTTGCTGGACTTTATCTTCTGGGGCTGCAGTGCAGCACTGGCAGGAGGCTGGCATCCTGGAGAATTGGAGGTGGTTTTAAAAGCAAGGTGGGAGATGGGCAAAGGGAAATGAGGGACTGCTGAGCAGCCGGGTTGGTGCTGGATGGATGAATGGACAGATGGATGAAGGGGTAGAGGGAGGGATGGGTGGATGGATGGATGGATGGATGGATGGATGGATGGATGGATGGATGGATGGATGGTGCTCCGTTCAGCACTGACATCTCGGACATGCTGGCAAGGGGATGGAGGGGCTGGACGGAGGATGATGGACCACCCGCGTCCCTGCCTGGCTGTGGGAAACCACCACGGGGAAAGGCTGCTCTGATGGAACAGGGGTGGATAGCTTTTCGGGGGGATGAAATAAAATCAGGTCTCGACACTCACCTCCGCCGGCCCGACCCGGCTCCGGGGGCTGCGTCGCTGCCATGCCGGGGATCTGCTGCCCGGGGAGGGGGCGCAGTTCGCCCCCGTGCCTCCCGCCCGGTCCGGAGCCCCGGTGCCGCCTCCGCGGTGCCGCCGCACCGGTTGCGGCTGCTCGCCGGCTGCAGCGGAGAAGGGGAGGGGGCGCGGGGGGAGCAGCCTCCTATCGCCATGGATACCGGGGGACCCGCACGCAGCCCCCCGCAGATGAGGCAGCGCGGGGGCGGGCAAGGAGAGGGAGGGAGCAGGCTCCCTTCCTGGCGGGGGTCGGGCTCTGTGTCCCCTCGCTGCCCCGAGGTCCCCGCGCTGATGCTGGCAGATGATGGCCGGTGTCCCCGGCAGCCGGTGTCCCCCTGTCCGTCCCGGGAGGGAAAACACGCCTGGAGTCTCCAGACGGGTGGGGAGATCCCCCATCCATCAACTCGCACGCAGAGAAAAGCAACACGATGTTTTGGGATGCTGGTCCTGGCTCCAGGCTGTTCCACTCAGCTCCAGCTCCTCCAGCATTCCCAACATCTCTTACCAAAGTTTGGCAAGTCTGTAAGTCAGGATTAGCCATTCCYGGCTGTCCCCAGCCAGCACACACCATTGGGAAGTGTTGTCCTTTAAAAAACCCAAAGGAGCAAATAGGGAAATGTTTAAACAAGGCATTTTGAGATAACACCTGGGGTTTTTCCCAGGAGTTTTTTTTTTTTGCCGGCAGCCAGCTGCTAAAGGACACAGGTGAGCTTGGCAGTGGCCTCTCTGCCACCAAGATGCCACTCTGTCCAGGAGATTTCTTCCTGGGATGGGAGCCAGCACATCTTGAGCATCCAGGAAGTGGGTGCACACTTCTGGGAGCACCCACAGGGTGTCCAAAGAACCAGTGGTGATGGGGACTTAAAACTCAAACCRTTCTACCACACTTCTTCTGGTGCAAGAAGAAAAAAAATAATTGAAGAAAAAGAAAGAGAATGTGACAGTGACCTAATGTTCCAAACGATGGAATAGGTAGAATAGTTCAATGAGAAGGAAAAAAAAATACCATATAGCTGCATAAAAGTAATTTATCAAATTTACTTCACTCAGTAATTCCCACAGAGGAAGGGAAGATGCATTTACATTGTGTCTGTTGTTAGCCAGTCTTAAAATGCGGGTGCCAGGTCAATTTAGAAGCTATTTTACAGATTTACCTGGTTACTGCAGTGAGGAAAAAARCTGGCACTGGGTCGCTTTGGATTCCATGGTGGAAAAATAGAAGGGAAAAAAGAATTCCTTGGAAAACAAAGATTTTTTTTCCAGGGAAATACTGCTCACATCTGGGTGGAATCCAGCTGCAGAGYGAGCAGCTGAGGGGATGTGTGAAGGGGCTTCTTTAAGGACGAGACTGATAATTTGAATTTAATCAGATACAACTCCCCCGATGTAACAGGAAAGCATTTAATCAGGTACTTGGCACACCACGGTGTCAGCGATTCCAGGGAGAACTCTCACAGCTGCAGGGATGTCCTCCACCATCCTGGCTGCTCCTCATCCCCGCCCAGCTGGGAGGGATGGAGCTGAACATCCGACTCCCCCCAAATTTACCCAAACCTCCCACCACATGCATTGAGCTCCTCTGCATTCCCAAAGCGGGAGATTCCCTGGCTTGGGATTTGGCAGAGCCATCCCTTCATGGAGGAGCCCTGCTGCTTGTTTTAATTCAGGAAAAGCGAGGCACTTCAGGAYGCGCTGGCTGCGGGTTTGGGACGGAAACAGGGACACAGCAGGGACTGACCTAAGCCAAACCACTCTGGTGGGCACCACCCCTCGAGCACCCCATCAGGCTTTAGGGACGGGCTCCTCTGGAGACAGCAGCAGCTCGAAGGGAACCAGGGGCCGCACCAGCAGCCGCGCCTCGGGGCCCACGGGGTTGGCCCGCAGGTTGAGGCTCCGCAGCGATGCCATGGAGGCCAATTTGTCCGTGGGCACCTCTGCAAAGAGAGCACGGAGGTGAGAATGTGCCCTGCAGGGATGMAAGCTCCTCCTGATGGACAGCCTGGAGCTCGCCCTGCTCCTGCCGGTCTGCAGGCTTTGATCAAAGCAACAACRCGGTGMAATATTAATTCAWCCAACTGCTCGAGCAAATGGYTGGATTTGATGATCTTAGAGGTATTTTCCAACATAAATGATCTGATGATTTTAAKGGATGTGTTGGCAAGGTACAGACACCAATATATTCAATGTGGGCAGTGCCCTCTAGTTCTCCCAGTCCTAATAAAAGCYCTGCTGGGGCATTAAACTGGGATTCAAAGCCTTATTCCCTGATTTTATTCCCAGTGTTGCAATGCCCAGGAGCCCTCTCCAGGCTGACAGGAGATCACTCTTTGCCCTCGTTGGACAGGCTGCGAAATGGCTCTCAGCCAACAACAGGCACCCTCCTGTTTTGCAATTTCCATGAATTTGGGTGTTGTCTTTCAGAAAACGTTACATTTACGAACTCTGCATTTAAAAAAGGAGCCGGTCTCCTGGATGGTCTCAGTGTGAATCCACTGCGGACAGAAGAATGAGACTGATGTGAAAACCTGAACATTAACTCATTAAAAGGCGATAGATTTAGCTTTTTTGCTACAATTCACAATAATTTGGGCTTGCAAAGCYCAGCTGTCTGATTTACCAAACCAAATTTCTTTTTAATTTGGCCACCAAAATGACAAGAACCTTTTATATCCCAGCTCCTGTTTCTGCTGCCAGCACCTGGAGCATAATTACAATAGTTGTAATTATATCTGGGTAGATGATGATGTGATTTTTAAACCATGAAACTTATATTTTATATTGGAAAAGGACTCAAACGCTTCGATGCCTTTGTTTTTTTTTCTCTCTTCCTTTCCCAGCAAATGGTGCTTTTTCCACACACATATTCCCTAGGAGTGCATCTCTCATCAGGCAGAACTTCACATTAATTTTTTTTAATAACTCTTCTTCATGGTGGATTTGTTCACTGCCATTCCCCTGTATAATTTTGCTGCTCTTTTTCCCCCATGCTGCACAAAAGTAATATTTTATTTCATAGATCTTTCTATTTAATCATCTTCCAATGCAGTGGGGAATAAGAAGTTTAATCATCTTCTTACGCAGAGGGAGAAAGTTTAAAGTGCTTTCACCGTTTTGCTTAAATTAGGGAGTTATGTGAAGTATTTTAGGGACCAAAACTTTGCCAGGCTGGGAACAGCTCAGCTCTGCACCTTAATTCCAGGTAAGGAGCAGTGACTCACCCCTGGCAGGAAGGGACAGGCAGGGCACACAGTGTAGCTGCAGGGTTGAGCCACAAATTCCACAAAAAACAACCYCAAGCATCCCTTGCTGCTTTCCCAATGGATGAGGCTCGTGTGTTTGAGCCTGAATTATTCACGCTGGCTTCACCAGTAAAGTGAAAAACAGGGAGGGAAAAGGCTTTTATAAAATCAAAGCAGAATGTGACAGTGAGTGAGTAACACCATCGTGGGATGGTTTGGGTTGGAAGGGACCTTAAAGCTCATCCAGTTCCCCCTCTGGATGGAAGCASGGACACCTTTCACAATCCCAGGCTGCTCTAAGCCCCATCCAACCCATCCTTGGATGCTACCAGGGATCCACAGCTTCTCTGTCGGGGCCTCATCACCCTCACAGGGAAGAATTTCTTCCCAWTATCCCTTCTCACCCTATTCTCAGTCTGAAACGAGTCCCCCTTGTCCTATCTTTGCATTCCCAGGAGGACAAAATTAATCACTGTTACCCCCAGCAATGACCTCCCAGCCTTGKCAGCAGTCTCAACATCTTCCCTATTAAACCATTCATCAAGGAGTAAGGGAAAGAGAAGCTGAAGCTCCAGACACCCAAACATCCCCGTGGATTTGGGAGCTTAAAACACTGATTTGATATAGCTCTAATTATCAGGGAAAGAGTTAAAAGCGCTGACAGTAACAGATCCATAATTACAGTCCAGAGCTTATTTAGATGAAAAGGGTGGCTTGTGGCACTAAATGTCTCCTTTCACAGAGCCCACAGGCTCCAGGCATTAATTAATCTCCTTTTACTCCTGTTTCCCTTTGGAAAACCTTCCCCACCATTCCAGTTCAATATCTGTCTGGGAAAGGCTGGCAGGAACAATGTGATCACCCAGGTTTTTGTTTCCTTGGAAAAATGGGCTGAAACCCCCTGACTTTCTGCTCTCCACCTCTTCCCTTCCCAGAAAATGTGTAAAATAAGCTCATCTCCCCTATTCCTGCAGCCAGACAACRTCATGTGCACTACTCAGACATAGCCCTACAACATTTTAGCTTGTAATTATTAAATTTTACTCTGCTTTTATTTTCCCCACATCTGGAGGACACCTCCCAGCCAAGGGGAGCCTGCTGAGAGATGACAAGCCTTGTAGCCAAATTCTCAAGCCACCTTCTCCATCCAGYTGTGGAACCTTGGATGCAGCCTTTCCTCCCTGCAATTTAGTGGGGAAAAAAGGCACCAAAAATCTGCATTCTCTCCTTGCAGCATCCTGCTCGTGCAAAACAAGCGGGGGAAAAAAATGCTGTTTGGAGACCAGGTCGGATTGAAATCAGCCAATTAAACTCAGAAAGTGACAGAGGGGAGCAGAAGTGAGACAGCTCTCTCTRGGAGGTGGGAGATAAAAAGGGGGTGAGGGAAAGCCACGTCTTTCTCCGGCTCCYGTGGAAGCAGTTTTTAATTCAGTGTTTCCTCAGGCACAGCCGGGGAGCAGCTGATGTGACGCTGTTAATAAAACTGGTGTTGCAGGGAGCAGCTTTCCCAGCAGCAGCTGATGCAATCCCAGATAAAACAGCAAAATTGAGTGGACTCTGATATTCTCCTCCCTGGGGATCCGTGGGGGMTGTGGGATGCTCCAGCCCAGGCTCTTTGAAAGCTGACCCCTAAATAAATCCCCTTTTCTCTGTGTACAACAACTGCCCCTTTTGCCCAGCTTTTGGAAACTCCAAAGGCTTCAGCTTTTGCTGCAGGGCTGAGGGACGAGTGGCTCTAASCATTCCTTTAATTTAATTTTTAGGGGATTTTGTGGTGTTACAGCCCCTGTTTACCCTGGGAAATGTTCAGGTGGGCTCGTGTCCTTGCTTTGCCTGGCACAAACACCCCAGCCTGGCATCTCTGGGGCCAGGTGCTGCCATCACCTTTTTTTAGTGAAATCTGGTGATTTTGGGGCTTCCCAGCTGAAGCTACATCCCAGTGAATAGAGCAGCTTGAATGGGGCTTGATTCCCACTGTGCCTGCGACAGCTTTTCCTTGGGAGGCAGTGAAAACATCAGGAAAGCCAAGCATCTAATGAGGCTCTGACTATTAATTTGATAATTTAATTACTTTCCCAGGGGTAAAAATGCCCTCCTCACCTGCGATCTCATTCTCCTCCAGGTCGATGGTCTCCAGGGTGGGGACAGTGGCCAGGGGCTCCGGGAAACGCCGGAATCTGTTTCGGGAGAGGTCGATGGCCCGGAGGTGCAGCAGGGAGGTGATTTCCTCAGGCAGGCGGTGCAGGTAGTTACCTGCCAGATTGAGCTCTGGAAAGAGAAAAGGAAGCTGGTGGGATGCAGGGAAAAAAAAAAAAAAAAAGGGAAAATAACTAATATGTGGCTTGATTTACAAGCCAGGTCCAGCGGTGGGATTCCAGCTTCAAAAATGGGGCTTTTTTGTTTTTTTTGCTCTTTTCCATGGTTTGCCATTGTAGTTTTGCCTGCTGGGAATACCACTTGGAGGAGTGATGTTTTTTCTTGGTTTCCCCAGGCTTTGCTAATGAAATTGGGCAGCCTTTTTCAAGCTGTGAAAAATAAGGAATATGTTCTCATAAAATCAGTGCAATTGCCTCCCCAATGGATGCTTGTCATGGCTTAAGGCTATCTCTCTAAATTCATGCGTCTGAAACCCTTCTGAGAAATAAACAGAATGGTGGAAGAAAGGTCTTTATATGTGAAAGATATCTGTTCTACCTAGTTCACCTCTCTGTCATGCTTCCCTGCCCCAGAAATGAACTTCTGTGGGGCCAGGAGCAGCAGTCCTGGGAACAGAGGCCAAATCCCAGTGTCCCTCCCAGCACCCTTCTCCAGTGACACAGGGCTTTCTGCTCTATAAATACCCACACAAGCTGCCCTGCCCCTGCTAATTCCTGATATTTATAGGTCCTGCCTTACTCAGGCTCTGCCCAGCCTTGGGGTGTCTCTCCTCACCGGGACCCAGCACCGGAGTGTTTTGTTCACTGGAGSAGCAAAGCCCTTGCTGGAAAACCAAACCTTTTTTTTTCCCCTTCGGGGCTTTGTTGTGCTGTCTAGAAAATGAAAATTGATTTCCTTTGCTCCATATGCTCCTTTTCCCCAGCCTAAGGAGTCCTCCCAGCTCCAGAACAAGGGAAGCCTCCCCAGGGATCCACCCCGGTGGTCTTTGTGTGATACATTGTAGGGACAAAATTGATTTCGGAAGCTGCTGGAGCAGCCCCGGTGCCATCTGCAGCGCTCAGGACCGTGGTGCTGGATGCTCTGGATGCTTCCATGGCCATTTTTTAGCAGATGAGCCTCTGGCTGCTTTCTCTGGGCTCCTCTGGTGCTGATGGTCGTTCCCATCTCCTGCAGCGATTCAGTCTCACTGAAGTCTCACGATGAGGACTAATTGGCACAGTCTGGATGGCCTCATCTTTGCCGTGCCCCTTTATCCCCAGGCTCCCTTTTCTGTCCTCCTCCACCCCCAGCCCCATCCTTTGAGTGACCCCACAGCGGCCTGACACAAGTTTGGAAGGGTGGATGAGAGCAGAACCGGTGTCCTCTTSCTTCAAGGGGCAGAAAGGGTGAGGAAAAAAGGGGTTTTGGGGGGGTCTGAACTTGCTTGTAATGAGATGTGAGCTCAGGGGAGACTCTCAGGGGGTTTTCAGCCCCTTCTGCAGTGACCCGCGGGCTTCTTGAGGGTACTGGAGGATTGAAAGCGGCTGTCCCTTACCTGTCAGCTGGCTGAAGGTGGTGACAAACCGGCTGGTGATGGACTTGAGCTCGTTGTTGGCCAGGGAGATGCGATGGATCCCCTCGGTGACGCTCCTCACGGCCTTGTAGATCCCCACGGGGAAGTTCATCAGCTTGCAGTTGGCCAGATCTGTGCTCGGAGACACCCAGGCACCTCACAGTGCATCCACCCGGGAGGGAACCGTGCTTTCCCCCTGCTTTTCCACTCCTTCATCCTCAATTTGTCTGAGTGCTGTCCCCTGCCCAGCCCTCTCCATGATGGGGATCTTTGCAGTCCCCTCCACAAACACTGAGGAATGCCAAGGTAGTTCTGCCTCAGGTGCTCAACCCTAAATTGCATTGTAACTCTCAACCCTAAATTCCATTGTAATTCCTTCCAGGCTGCGACAGCCCTTTTGGGAACCCTCAGCCAGCCTGTAGCTTCAGTCATCCTCTTCCCCTGTGTCCCTAATGCCCTGGGGATAGCTGGGGGATAGCTTCTTCCACCTCAGGGCTTTCCCCGGGCATGCTCCTGGCTGGATTTCTCAGTGGTTGTCCCACGGCAAGCGGTGGGGAGCAGAAAATATTTGGTCGTGCTTCTCACCCCGCGGTGTTTTTGTTTGGCTCTGAGTAGTTTCTGTTTCTTCTCCCGGGACATGCCGGGGATTGAAACCCTGTACCCCAGCCCCAGGAYGGGCTCTGCTTCCTGCCCCCTCCCCACAACCACTGCGAGCTCCATCCTCCCACGTTTCTCTCAGGAAGATGTGGAAAGCCTGAGCGACCAAGCTCCACCTCCCGGCTTGGTTTATATCCCAGGGCCGGGAATCCAGCGGGAATAAAAATGAGCGGCTTTCATCTCTCTGCTTTGATGAACTGCACCCCGCTCTCGGATATCAGCCTGAAACAGGGAAATTGCAGGAAAACGCAAATCTGACGAGGCAGCATGGGGAAAAATCTGCTCCTGCCACTGCTTGCACATCCCATGGGATTCTGTGACACAGCTGGGAACCTTCTCTAACTTTGGGGAGCTGAAGGCCCTTTGGGAAGTCTTTCCCTTCCCCAGAGCAGCGGGGAGGGAGCGCTGACAGCTTTTTTTACACCGTGGCAGTGAAAAATAAGAGCCCTGCTGCCGGATACCCGATCCTCGTCCCGGGGCCCGAGTGGGAGCGCCGGGCTTACCCAGGGAATCCGCTTTGTTCTCCACCGTGTCGTTCACCTTCCTGGCCACCCGGGCCACCGCCTCGCCCATCCTCTTGTGCAGGCGGGCGGCCGGTCCCGCCGGGAATGCGCTTTGCAGCGGGGGATCCAGGGCTGGAGGGAGAAAAGCGGCCACGGCGGCCTCTCCGGAGAGGGACGCTAAAAATAACCGGCGGGATCAGTGTTCCCAGGGGAGGGAGGGAGGCTGTGCTGGGGCTGGCATGGCCCTCGGGGRTGAGATTCCCAGCTTTCCAGGATGGTGCTTTTGGGGTGTGTGGATGCGTCCCATTCCCTAGGATATGGGGATGTATCGCCTTTGCTGGTATTGGATTTGGGGATCTTTGCCATTTTCCTGGTTTGGGATATGGGGATGTATCCCCTTTGCTGGTATTGGATATGGGGATCTACACCATTTTCCTGCTTGGGATATAGGGMTGAATCCTATTCCCTGGTCTGGGATATGGGCATGCATCTCCTTTCYTCGTGTGGGATATGGGGATACATGCCCTTTCCTGGCTGGGCATAAGGGGGTGTAACCAGTTTTCCTTATTTGGGATATAGGGATCCATGCCCTTTTCCTGATGGGAGACGGAGATGGGATATGGAGATAAATGCTATTCCGTGGTATGGAGATAAATGCTATTCCGTGGACATGGGGATGCATCCCCTTTTCCATTATAGGATGTGGGGATGCATCCCATTTCCCTGTTTGGGATTTGGGTATCCCCTTTCCTGGTGGGAGACATGGGGATGTGTCCACTTTCCTGGTTTGGGATATGGGAACATGTCCCCTGTCCTAGTGTGGAGCATGGGGATACACCCCTCCTTCCTGGCTTGGGACACATCCCTTATTTAGCTCGGCCTAGCCAAAACATTTCGGCCGACGGAATCCCGGGTAGGACAGGACGGTAAAACACCCCCTTCCAATCCCAAAAAGGCTCGCTTCCCACGCCGGGAGTCGAACCCGGGCCGCCTGGGTGAAAACCAGGAATCCTCACCGCTAGACCACGTGGGAGGCACGGCCAGGGCGGCGCGGCGGCACGCCTGCCCCCTGCCGGCGGAGAGGGGCGGGGGGAACGGGCGGGGGGAGCGGGAA